TAGTGTAAATGACATGGTCCAGAACCACCACCCTTAAGTATCGCAGTTACAGATGCCTCAAAGCAGCATATTCTTTGAAAAGCAGAAACTTAGAGGTTCATATTTAATAGTTATACGTGGTTTTATTGTTCCAGCTAGATTAGGCCCTTCCTTTTTCAGAAATACCATCTATGACCATTAGACTTCTCCATCAATGACAGAAATGTGAGGTTCTAAGAGTCTCTGAATATTGCAGATTTTCATGGGTGAATCATTTGGGTTTGGGGCCATCTACTTCCCCAGGTCTTGGCATCTGAGATCAGAAGGCTTGGAGCTGCTAGTTATTCTGTAATACAATTTTAAGAAGAGAGATGACCTCTATCTTCATCAGTGACATCTTAATTTAACCCTCACTCTGCAGCAAGCAGAGATATCAATCAGTTGCAAGCAAGGGGACCTGGAAGCACAAGGATGAAAATACAAAAACATTCTATTTCACGAATCAGAAGAAAAATCACCTTCAGCTGGTGATACAGCCTTCTGAGCCAGCTCTGGGATTCTCAGAAGAAAAAAATTCTACTATACTACTCTGAGGCTGAAGCCAGTCAGAAGCTTTCTGGCTCCTGCAACATTAGAGGAATAAGCACAGTTTGGACAAGGAGATGGAATGAAAAGCCCTTGACTCCACCAATACCTGGCTTTGTTGCTCCAGATACCAGCAGAAAAAAAGGAGAAGAGAGATGGTATATATAGATTGTCTCAGCAGTAGAAGTACCTGTCCTCTCTTAGTTTCCTTCCAAAAAGCCCTTTTGCTGCCTCCAGCATTTTGCCACCTCCAGCATTTTGCCACAAGTAGACCTGTTCCTAGAGTCTACTCTTAGGTGCTGCCTATACTACTAAATAAAATGGGAAAAGTGCCACAGCCTACTTGTGAGACTATCCATATGTCTAAAATCATAGCTTTCCCAAAAGAAGGTTGCCTTGTCCATCCTGTGCATTTAGAAGAGACTCTGAAACATGTCTGAGGCTTTCCACATCCAAACTGTGCATGGTTAGTGGGTGGGGAATGTCCCACCCAACACAAGCCAAAACCCTGCCATGAAAAATTGGAAAAACAACACTGCAGTGGAAAATGTTTTAACAAAAAACAGGTGTTAGACACTTTGAGATGTCATTTAGTGAGGAAATCCGTGCTCTACAAGACTCAAAATTCAAATGTTGCATGGAAATCTGAGATGAGATGGAGCAAAGGACAGAGAGCAATGACATCCAGGGAACCACAGAGCCGTGCCTGGCTGCTGAGAATCAGGTTAACAGATCTTGCTTTGAGACTCCTTTGAGCTTGGGAACAGCTCAGATATTTGGAGAGCTCTGCTGTTTTAGGTGTAGACCTATGGGGGAAAAATGGAGCAATGCAAGAGGAAGATGCTAAGGATCCCAAACACTTGTTTACCTTTTCCCCAGTGCCCTAGTGGTATGAAATACAGCACTGAAGCTTCCCACCAGCTCTTCCACCGCAGCTGGAGGGAGCCACTTTGGCACTGTGCCACAGGTTAGAATCTTGTAGGAAGAGCTCCTACTCTTTGGTTTCTCCCATCAGTGAACTTAAACCATTTGATACCTCCATTTGATGACTGATCATAAGACTTTGGCAAAGAGAGGAAAAGGAGCATCCGTATCTCCACGAGCTAGAGGAGGCAAAGAGTTCACCTATATACTCAGCCTATTCAGGGGCTGGTCTGGCCCATAAACTCAGAAATGAGAAGCATCATAGAGAGATGGATCAGCAGACAGTTTTCCCACAGGAAAAAAAGTCATTAGAGAAATAGTGAGTGAGCCAGAGGGGAGAAGTCCTTAGGGTAAAGAATACTGCAGCAAATTAACACAGCTAGACAAATACTGTAACCATGTTAAATCTACCTAGAAACTGATTTACAACGTTTCCATAAACTATGACGGGGAGGCGAACAAACAATACCAAACTGGTCTCTTCCCAGTGCCTTAGAAGAACCTCCTGCTCCAGGAAAGGGGCATGTAATGAACAAACTTCACATGCAAATTCGTAATATTGGGTGAGAGGCACTAATTACATGTATTTTGATGATAAAGACTAATTTTTGCTCTGCTGCTTTTGCATGAAACAGGAGGAGAAAAAAGCTGGTTCAGGGTAATAGATGCCCTTACTTTGCAGTTTCTGCTCTTTCATGTTTGATGGATCTACTGCCAGCTGGGGAAGAGTTCATCCATGCTGTCCAAATACAGCTTATCAGCTCTGTGTCTTTGTGGAAGCCTTGTGCTGAGTGCATGACATCTCTGGATGCCTGCAGAGTCATCCTATCTCTAAGCTAAGATTAGAATTTCAAACAAAACTTATTACAAAGCAGGATTTTCTGAAAGGGCTGGACACAGCTATAACATGGAAATTTCAGATTCATGTCTAAGCATGTTATTTAATCCTTTTTTTAGATAAAGATAATTGCAAAGTTATATTTACCATAATATCAGTAGCTCTTGTGAGTGGAGGGAAAAAGCAGGAACATGATGGGCCATAACAAAACTGGACACCCAAACCCACCATCAATTCTGATCATTTTTTGCCTGAAAAGGCTGTGTTCACAGCACTCAGACACTATGTTCCTTACAAAATGGGTTAGGAGACATTTGGGAGATTTTCCCAGCTATTACTTAAATCTTAGACTTAAATGTGCATGTGGCAAACAAGCAAGTATTTAAGAGGGCAAAGGGGAACATTTTTAGTAGCTGTCACTCTCCAGAGCATATTCATCCACTGTAACTTGGGGAGGCTGATGCTGTGCTCAAAATCAGGTTTCACAATGTTTAACAAGGAAAAGGGAATAGTTCTGGTGCTTCTGATCTACACACCCCAGTGGTACTGGCCCAGCATGCTTCCTCACAGATAATCTCAGGTGTGAGAGAGGAGGAAGGCATCCCCTCTTGTTAGGGGGAATCTCCTTCAGTATTGAGCAGACAGAGATGGAAAGATGGGATTTTATGAGCACTTTGTGTCAGAAGCAAAATAATACAATTCAAGAATTTTGTGAAAAACGATGGGGGTTTCCATGCAGTTCCCAGACAGTTCTTTATTTTTGGAGAACCCTCTAGCAGCCATACTAGGGGACCTCAATCTTGTTTCTAGCCCTAGCATGGAACAAATACTTCATAGGAGCTAAAAGGGAGAAAGGAGGAGGAAAAGGATAAATAAAAGGAAAAAGGGAGAAGGAAATTGATTTTTTTTTTTTCATGTGAATTAAGTAAGTTATTTCCAACAGTTACACCCAGCTGAGATGCACTTTTGGAGGCTGCATCTGCCACCCCATCTGTAGTGTTGACTGTAAAGTCACAAGTTCTCCAGGCCCAGCCCATGAAGTCCCATAGCTGGCAGCAACAATGCTGATCCTGTAGATACCCACCCAAGTGACTATGTATGTGTACTCTGAGTCTGGTTAGCATCTAAAGATAAAGGTAATTATATCCCCGTTTTTCATACTGGAGCTGGTCATCTGCTTAAAGTTAATTTCAAATGCCTAGCTAATGGCCTGATGTGACTGGGGCTTTAAGCCAGTCTCTTTTCTGACTACTGGATATCTGGTATTAGAAAAGGATAGTGTTAGAAAAGTTTCCAAGAATCACTCATCTATTTAAAGTTGAGCACGTGCATGTGTTCAACAGGGTGGATATCTTCAAGCTGAGGATTACACTGCCTGTCAAACACGCCTTCTCAATTTTTCCAAGCCTGAATACACTAAAAACCTTCCTGATTGCAGCAGGCCTGTCAAGCATTTCTTTTTTTCTCTAGTTTACAGAGAGTACTTTGTTCTGTGTAAATTTTATACCATATAGGTCATTTGCTTGAGTCATACAGAGAAAAGTTAAGAAACCTCCCCACTGTACACACACACACACGCACACATTCCCTGGACATGGGGGAGTTAATCTGACACAATGAAATCTCTGCACTTTACTTCATTAAAATCTAAATTTAGATCTTTTCATAGAGTTGATATACAGTTTATTCTTCTTACTACAAACCCTAAGACTTTGGAAAAAAAAAAGCTGCAATTTCCAAGAATGCAAGCTTCCATTAAATACAAGAGCCAAAACTGTCAACCTCTACCTGTGGCAAAAAGAATGAACTTTGATTTCACTGTTTCGTTTCTGCCATTAGTCATAATTTCTCCTATATCCATCCCATGTACAAACACTCATACAGCCCGTTTCACCAGCTGAACATTATAAGGGGGCTGACTGTGCCCAGTGAGAGTCGTGAACCATAAAAAGGAATACTTCTTTCTTTTCTTGCAGAAACAGGTAGTTAAGTTTGTCAAAAGCAGTAAAGGCCGCGAGATTCTGGCTTTGGTCCTCCAGACTCTTACTCACACGCTTCGCTTTCTGCATGCAAACTGCCTCAGCCAGATCCGAGATAAAGTTACAAAGGCACAACTCTGGGATTAGCAGAGGAAGCGAGGAGCGTGCCCTGCTGCAGCCGGGGGTTGGCTTTGCTTGCCTGGACGGAGCCAGCTCCCGAACGGAAATGCTCAAACCAACTAAATAAGCACCTCACTCCTCTGCTACATCTGCTGGGCTCAGCCCGAGATGCCCCACCGCCTCATCTGCCGCAGGTCGGGCGCACAGAAAAGAAGAAAAAGCGTGCGTACCGCCTGCGCCCCGCACGGCTCAGACCCAACCACGCGGGGTAGCCCTCCCCGCCGCCCCCCGGCTCCTCGCCGCTCCGCTCCGCCCCGCTCCGCCCCTCCCGGTCTGCCCTGCCCCGCCGCTCTGCGGTACGCGACGGCCGGGCGGGGGGCTGGTGACAGGGAGGGGGCCGATTGAGCTCCGTGGGCCCGACTGAACTCCGCGCCGGGGTGGGGGCTCCCAGCGAAGCGGCGGGGGTTCAGGCAGCCCCTGTCCTCCCCTCCCGTCCGGCGGTGGGACGGGCCAACCGGAGGGGAGCCGCGCTTTCCGTAGGTTTGTTCTGTCACCCTTCTGGGAACATAAGTTTGGGAATAAAGGGGAGGGTTTTCCCACCTTATCCCGGAAAAGGACGGAGAGCTGCGAAGGGAAAGTGCTGTCGCCTGCTCCGTGGAGTCCCGTTCCCTGCCTCCCTCTGTGCCTGCTCAGTTCCTGCTTGTGATGCTTTTGGGGGACAGGACAGGGGCTTTCGGCAGGGCTGCGCTGTGAGGCCGTGGCCATCAGAAATGAGTCTTCACGATCTCCACAGACTAGCTTTGGTTTAAACCAGGGAAGTCTGATTCTTCAGGTCCTGAAGGATGCGAGTAACTTAGAGTTCTGTGTTGAAGTACTCACCTGGGCACTGCTGACTCCTGGAGAAACAACCTGAGAAACTGACCCGTTGTACGTCGTGTTACTTTATGCCAAGTTTGCAAGACTGTTCTGCAGCCTCCCTGCAAGGAGTGTCAAAAGAGCATAGTTTGTTTCTGCTACGAGCAATTGCCAATTACTCATATAAAAATGATGATCTGAAAGAGGTTGTGCACTGTAGAATAAGTAGTCATGCAGTGACATTCAATGTTGTGGCATCTCATCAGGGCTACTTCCTGTAGTGCACAAATCTAACCAGGTTCTCTCTTTTTTCAGGGTAGAGTGAGCCCTACGGAGACACAGTAGAGGGGCCACCCCCCATTTCGCATCTAGCTGAGTGGACTATGGTGGCAGGAAGATGTTGGCTCGGAAGAGTATCATCCCTGAAGAGTATGTGTTGGCACGGATTGCTGCAGAGAACCTGCGCAAGCCACGCATCCGAGACCGGCCTCGCAAAGCCCGCTTCATCGCCAAGAACGGGGCATGCAACCTGGCACACAAGAACATCCGCGAGCAGGGGCGATTCCTGCAAGACATTTTCACCACCTTGGTGGACCTGAAGTGGCGTCATACACTGGTCATCTTCACAATGTCCTTCCTGTGCAGCTGGCTGCTCTTTGCCATGATGTGGTGGCTGGTGGCTTTTGCCCATGGTGACATGGACCCAAGCACAGAAAGCACTGCAAACAGCACAAAGTGGACACCATGTGTGACATGTGTGAGGTAAAATATGGTCAGTGGGATGAAGAAAGGGGGTGGAACAGGGCTGCCTGCTGTCCTAATGATGCTAAAATGCATCTTTTGGTTTACATGAACCATTGTGTTTGGTTGAGACAGTTGAAAAGTGCAGTGTTTTCCTCCAGATTACATAAATTCAGCAAGCCTTCTGGGCTTGGAAAATACTGTACTCTAGATTTCTTTGATTCCTTACAGGATCTGAAAGAAAGGGAGACCTGCTGCTTTTCATGTGTCTCCACACTCTGGGGGTAACATACCTTGCCTGTCGAGATAAGAGCCTGCTACAAGAGTGGGTATGTGTTGTATGTATTGTAACCTTGTCTACGGCAGTGGGAGCATCCCCAGCGTGGTGCAAGCCACTTGCCATGCCATTGAAAGGTGGCCACCTCGGGAACAGTGTCTGAGAAGCAGGGTATGAACCATGGGTGTCAGGCAGGGCTAGCAAGAAAAGCACTGCTTAAGGCAAAACTAGTCTTTCAAGATGACTCTCATGAGACAGATAAAAATGTGGTGCTTCAAAATACCTTGATGAAGCCATAGGCCAGTAGTTTGACAGAGGAACAGTTTCCACAGTGTGCATGATGTGACAGACAGTGAAAGCTTAAGGGAGTAGCAGACTGAATGTCACCTGTTAAAGTGTTTTATTCCCCTTCCCCAAAGCCATGACAATTTTCAAGGCACTGATAAACTGACACATCTGCACACAGAAGAGAGTGTAATCGGAAGGTGGGGTAAGCAGTAAGAACGCTTTGTCATCTCATCAGTAAAATCTATATTTATAGCACTAAGTTTTTCAGCAGAAAAATCCTGATTTGGTACCTCCGGACTGCCCCAGATCAGCTACCTTTACACATTAAGTACTGTGAGGGACTGGGGGGTCTACAGGGTCTGCTGAGATATTAGAGTATCCACTTCCCTTTTCTCTTTCCTCCTGCACATAGTTTTAAGGCACCTCTCCAAGTTTGAATGGATATCGTATCTGGCTCATGAGGGAGCAGAGGTTTCATTCTTCTTTGATTTTGACATTTTTTGCTAAACTGGGATTTTCCAAAACAAAGGAAGTAGGGATTTTTCCAAGCTAACTTTCATTAGGCTGGGATGGAGGGGGTGCTGTTTTATTTCTTTTCCAATTACTGGTGGCAATGGAATGAGACTTCATCACCCAGCTTGCGCCCACTGGGGTGTTACCCCTGGCATTTCTGGGATTTGTGGAAATCATCCAACCTGCATTATCAAGTAGCTACACCCCACCAGCTCTTCAGGGTAAGGTGGGAGGATATCCCTCTGCTTGCTTGGTGGCCCCCTCAGCTTGGCCACCTCGTGGGACTCCCCACAGCTCTCCTGGGCCACCCTGCAGAGCCTGAGCTGGTTGCCTGGGCTTTGTGCCACTACGAAATGGGGGACCATGGCTACAGATCTGAGACCTGCACCCTCCCCATAGCTGTGGCAGCCGTGTGCTGGGAGGTGGGAAAAAAAAAGAGCAGATGAGTCCATGTAACTTTCTGTTTTAGCCCATGATGAAAGAAAACACATCACTCCCTCATGCAAATACTTGGGGTGGTTCAGGTAACATCTGCTCAAGTACCCATGCCCAAGCCATGGAAAATCTTTTCCTTTCATAACGAAATACTTCATCTTGTTAAATCTGGCTACCTCTTTAGACAAAGCAATAGAATAGCAACATGATTGTTAACATTTTGAAGAATGGTGTGTTGTTGGATGTAAACTATATTTCATATTGCAATGATATGTGTGCCAAAATACAGGCAAATATTTTTTAACATACTTTCCTGAGATTTAAGCGCATGGATATTTCAGGAGAGCTTTCTTGGGTAGGTGCCATTACAGACTTACAGGAAACCTGCCTTTGGAAATTTTAGCTAGTGCCTAGACCATGCACAGCACTTTAATTTTTCAAAGAACTGGAGAAATGCCTAAGTCTTGCATCTCTTTGCCACACAAAGCAAACATTCTACAAAGAGGAAACATTTTACACAGGTCTAAAGAGAAAGACCTGGCTATAGCATGGTTTGGTGTTTCTGGCTCCCTCTTCACGTGTTGAAAATGCTGTATAAACTTGCTGCTTACACTGCTTACACTGTAAAAAGATGGATTCTCTCTTTTTTTTTAAGAAGCAGTATTGTTTAGGGAAATCAGAATATTTACTCCACAAAGCTTTAAGTTGAATTAAGCTGAATTAAGTTTAAACCAGAATCTGCATTCTCCATGTAACTAAACATTCATAAACATAAGAAGTCCTTCCATGGATTCTATTAATTAACTCCTTCATTCCTGATTTCTTCAGTGTGAAATGCAAAAATAAACCCCTCAATACAAGGGAATCTCTAAAACTACAAGAAATCAAAAAGGGAAAAAAAGAAAGACAAAGATCTTTCAAAGATATCTGTACTGGATTTCTGAGACATGGACTTTCTCATTCTACTGAAGATTATCCCTAATATTGCCTAAGCTATTTTAATGTCTATTTCTGACATCAGGCTCAATGAAAATATGGTTAGGAACAAAGAGAAAAAAATATTTGAAAGCAGATTAATTTAAAAGTAAATGAAACCAAATGAATAGTTTAGATCCATATTCCTGGGGAAGACATATTTTCCATAGGTAAAACTGTGCTGAGCATGGCAGTGCTTCAAATGTTGGTGTATAGCACTGTGTAAAAAGGATGACTATGACACTAGTTCATATGAGACCCAATGTGCTGCACCTCTCCTCAATAAACCCCAAGGTACTGATTTTAGACCAAGAGATTCTTCTGAAGGATGTATCTGATTATAAAGGAAACTAAAGGCCCTGGTATATACAGCATATAGGCCATTGTGGACTACTATAAATAATGTATTGTGGAAAACTTGTGGACAGCATCCTCTAATGTCCAGCACTACAGCGTGTTAGGGACATTTAAGTTAAACCACTTCTAACTTCTACAACCCACTTCTGTACTGAAATTTTCCAGCTAGTCTTGCCACAGCAGTGAGATGAACCCAAACCCTGGGTCACAGCATTGTCCTCCTGCCGGGATGTGCAGAAGGGACCACAGAAGCCACTGATCTCTCTCAGCAGCCAGATCTTAAGGGCTCAGTTGCAGTGCGAGCAAGGGTTTGGGAGGTGTCATGAATCTGGGAGTGTTCCAGGTAGTATGAGTGAAATGCTGCAGTTTTCCCTGTTTCCTTTCCCTGCACAGGCTGGTGGAAGAATTCCGCTGTGCTGGCCAATTGCTCACTATTGCCAAAAACACCACTCTCCACCAAGAGCTTCATGGTTTGGGAAGGTGGAAAGTTCAGGTGTTACTGCACTGTTGACTAACACAGTGGTCACCATGTGTTCCTGAACGGAGGATCTAGTGATCTTCTCAAGGTCACCTAGCTTACAGATTATGTTTTAGGAGCTCAGGCTCTGAGGTCTTCCTTGTCACCATCAGAATCTGCACTGATCATACAAAAACAGAGTCACTGAGCATGCAATGCTTTTTCTGGTGTTAACGGAAGGCATAAATGTACCAGAACTCTACAAAGAGATCCTTAATTTCTAGAAAGTATATGGTAATAGCTTCTTGGTTTGTATTCAATATCCTTAGCATTAACTTTGTCTTCTTCTCCAGGTCTTTCACCTCCGCTTTCCTTTTCTCCATTGAAGTTCAGGTGACCATTGGTTTTGGGGGCAGAATGATGACAGAGGAATGTCCCTTGGCCATCACAGTCTTGATCCTGCAGAACATTGTAGGTCTGATCATCAATGCTGTCATGCTGGGCTGCATATTCATGAAAACCGCACAAGCTCACAGGCGGGCTGAGACCTTGATTTTCAGCCGGCAGGCAGTCATTGCAGTTCGAAATGGCAAACTTTGCTTCATGTTTCGAGTGGGAGACCTGAGGAAAAGCATGATCATTAGTGCCTCAGTGAGAATCCAGGTTGTGAGGAAGACTACGACCCCTGAAGGAGAAGTCATACCCATTCACCAAGTAGATATCCCTGTGGATAACCCCATTGAAAGCAATAATATATTCCTCGTGGCTCCCTTAATCATTTGTCACATTATAGACAAGCGGAGTCCTCTTTACGATATCTCTGCTGCTGACCTGGCACTCCAGGACCTGGAGCTCATCGTGATACTTGAGGGAGTCGTAGAAACAACTGGCATTACAACGCAGGCAAGAACCTCCTACATAGCAGAGGAGATCCTGTGGGGTCACCGCTTTGTGCCCATTGTCACTGAAGAGGAAGGCGTGTACTCAGTCGACTACTCCAAGTTTGGCAACACTGTCAAAGTGGCAGCACCACGCTGCAGCGCTCGAGAGCTCGATGAGAAGCCATCCATTCTCATCCAGACACTGCAGAAGAGCGAGCTGTCCCACCAAAACTCCCTGCGGAAACGCAACTCCATGAGGAGGAACAACTCCATTCGAAGGAGCAATTCCATGCGGAGAACCAATGCCTCCCTCATCGTGCCCAAAGTGCAGTTTATCACACCCGAGGGGAGCCAGAGTGCCTCAGAAACATGATACACAGCTTTGTGAGAGGTTGGTGGGCTTTGGAAGAAGGAGGCACCTTTGGTGTTTTGTTTAAATTTCCTCTTACTTCAGAAAATGAGACCACAGTGCAGAAAAGAACTGTGTAAGAAATATTTATTCTGTTATTTACTGAAAGCACCACCTAATGGCATTAGGAAACACTTTAGCACTTAGTGTATGAATTAATAGAAAATGGCACATACACTAAAGAAAACACTGTTCACTCATGTAATACAATGTGTATTTATACTTGGTTTAATGGCATGCTAATTTTTTTAATTGCATTCTTTCTGTCAAGGGTCTCTTTCTTATCTTCTGCTGACTGTCACAAAATATGCTTTTTTTCCTGTGTAAGTGGGTTACCCTCCTGCAGGCAGAAGTGAGTGCTTTTTCAAAACAGCTGCATACAACAGCTCCCACAGATTTTATGTGGGTTTCTTGGATATTGATCTTTTGGGGGTGAATTCCTTGTTCTCTTGAAAGGAGTAGCTAAATTCTTCTATGATTTCACTGAAGAAGAGACAGTATCTTATATTCAGTTTTCCAGAACTTTTTTCTTTCCATTGGTTTATTGCAAAGGCATTTTGAGAGCAAATTCAGGTCAGCTGAAGTGACCTGACCATCCCACAGGAAAACGGGTGCCACTCCAGGCAGCACGGGCATTAAAAACAGTGGAACAGCATGGCCTCTTGTAGGGCACTGCTCTTCTCAGGGTGAGATGCTCCAGTGCAGGACAGCATGCATCTGTAATGTAGCTCTGGCCCAATCTGAGAAACTCAAGTTCTCCCAGCTGCCAGCTGAGCATCCGTTGCACTGAAATGATGCATGTTGGAAAAAGCACACGCCTCTTAAACATCCTCTTCATATCAGTGAAAGACCAAATCCTGTCCTGTTTTCTCTTACAGATTCATACACTGCAAACAAGTGTACTTCCTTCACTTACAGCATTTTTTGTAGGACTAAATCTGCTTCAGCAGGTTACTTTTGGCCAGTGAGAATTCATGAATGAGAATTCATGAATGAGAATGAGAGGGAACCATGCCAATCATAATTAAGGTAGCATTTTCAAAACTATCTCAATAATTTTCAGGGAGACTTGGGTGCTACTGCTGAATTACTGGTTTTCAGCAGCATTTCACCTGTGATTTTATATAATATGACATCAAGAATTGGTGGTAAGCCGCTTTAGAGACTTCACAAAAAATACCATTACAAGGTTTTTTGCAAGAATAAGTAAATGCATGACAACCAGTTGTATCTAATTTGACGGCATGCTGTTTTCCTCTGGGAATAAGAAGTATAATTATGGACAAACTCCTGTTCAAATCGCTTACAAAAGTTGTCTTATTATGTCTGTGGCTAAGGAGAAGTACTACCCTTGCGCTGAATCTCTGTGCCATTAAATTACTTACATTCTTTTGTAATTTTAAATGTTTCCTTATTCTTATCAGGTAAAATAGTCAAAAGCAATGCTGGATTCTCATTCTCTTTGGAAGTCAGTTCATCAGCACCTGTATGGATGGTTTGCAGGCTTTGTGCAGTGTTGGCTGGTGGCACAGAGGGGCACTGCTCTGTAGCATAGGCTCCCTACATTTACAGCAGGTGCTTTCCAGAACGTAAACACTGACAAAATACTTCATCTGAAGCAGTAGCGGAAACTGAAGTTTGTGCTAAAAGCATTCATTCCCTGGCCTGCCCATTACTGTTCTGGGAGGATGGATGGTGAACATCTGGAGATACTAATGTGTCCATTGTGTGTTCAAACAATGAACATCTGTAGCCTCCAAGAAAAGTCAGAGCAAAGCATACACAGTTTGTCTCTGGCCTCTATTTCCAGCATTGTGAATTTCTTTGAGGCTGTCTGTTTGATATATGGTTAAATCAGATGCTGTACAAAAGCACATTTTCTACAAAATAAAAAAATGACAATAATGATTTCTTCCATCTCTGATTTTTCCCTACTTCTTACCTCTTTATTCTCCATTCATTCTTCTATACTCTTAATCCTTCTTGTATCCCAGCCTTTCCCCCAGTCCTTTAGAGTGATAATTTTGTATTACCTCAATACTCTCTCAGGACTTCAGCTGACAACCATTTTCTCCTTAAGTACACTCCTTCTTCCAATTTTTATTTTGCCTTCATCTCTCTCGCTGCTTTACACCTGATGTACTCTCTTTCCTGTAAGACTGTTACAGGGATATTGGTATCTTAAGGTAACACTAACACCTCAGTCTTATGCAAGGATGCCAAACAGTTATACAAGGCAGACCCTTGTGTCATAAATGTCGTGTTCATACAGCTGTCCTCCTGTTCCTTGCAGAAAATCCCTTAGTGCAAAACCCTTTTCTTGAACAAGTCTTGCAGACTTGGAAGAGGCTGGTGGCAGAAGCAGTCAGGATAAACTGCCTGGCCAGCCATGGAGGGCGGAGGGGAGATTTTGGGACTGGGGGCCGCATGCCAACTGAAGAACAGGTTTCAGGCCCAGTTTTGCAGCACCATGCCTGCTGAGAGGGCATGAGCTGGCAGCACCATGGTTCAATATGTTTAATTACTTTATACTCCCTGATAACTTTATCAGATGAAAGGGGCTTTATTATAAGTCTAAGTTTTCTATGTTTAAAGTACTCAGCCAAGTTCAGAATGACAGTTGATATTTCTACCAAATACTGCTGACAGTCCATGCAAGCATTTAACTTTCTGTCCTTCTCATTGATAACTTAGAAAATTAGAAGTAATAATGTATAAGCATTATCTGACTGCCATCCCTTCACGCTTACTTGTGTCCCTACTATTCCCATCCTCCTGTAACATAATGTAATTGGAACTGCGTTTATTCAACATCACTTATTCTGTGTATTTCATATACTTTTTCTCTTTGAACAGCCTACCAGGCAGTTGTCACTCTAGAGCAGAACTATTCCCCAAGGGTAGGAAAGTGATTATGAAGTCCTTCCAGGATAGGAGTGATATGTGGCACTGTACTTTATTTTTTCTTTCTATGTTCCTTTCTTAACTTAAAAGAACTGCTCTATTTTAAACAGAAAAATGGCAGTGAGACCGTTTGTCCTTTCTTTAGACACCCAGAAGATTCAGTTACCATAGTGGGGACACAGAGACCAAACAGAGGCAGTGCTTACAGGGAATATAAAGCTTAATGCTCCAGGGTCAAAGCCAACATCTGAGTAATAGGATTTGGAGGAAACTTTCCCTGTTGGCAGGTTATTCTGTAGCTGTCACCTTCAGGATTTCTAGTGCTCTCATTTGCAACACCTGGTCTGAGGCAGGGACAGAGGCAGGGGCCCTGATCAGCATAGGCAGATCAGAACTCTGCTTGAGGGCTGGCAGACTGCAAACACAAGAGTTCTTCCCTTCCTGCCACCCAGAATGATGCCATGAAACCCTGCAGTGAAGCCAGCCACTGGAGACCCCCCCAGCTGCAGCCAAGTCTTGCTATGATGTGCAATGTCAGTGAGTCATTGAGTGCTGCCCAGAGCCCAAAAATTCTGGTTCCAGGGAGGAACTCTCAGTGCTCATGGCATGGAGGACAGCACTGCTGAACCAGACAGGGGTCAATGTGGGGTTTGGGGATGCCTGCTGGAGTGGGTAACTTGGCTGAGCAGGGCTGTTGGAGTAGTCTGCACAGCAGGAAAGGCAGCAGAGTTACCTTTCAAGCCAAGACTGGACGAGCGCTAACTGCCCGTGCACACAGCTCCATCCTGCTCTGTGTACCAAACCACACTAAAGCCTGCTACAAGCCACACTTTGAGCCTTTCCATAACACTTAGCATGCCTTGTAAAACAATCCCCCTCCTGAATAATGCTTCATGGGCACATGTTGCACCGCAGCAATTTGCCCTTGCAAATACAACTCCCTGATTCCACCCACAGAAAGGTTAACCCAAGATTTCTGGGATACTCAAGACATCATACAGTAAGACAGTCAGAAGTATATTCAGACTTAATTAACACCTCATGTATGCAATGGGCCTTTACCCTAACACCGTGTCTTACTGTAGTCCACTGGGTCATTTCAGAGGCATAGGGCTCAACTTACCTCACAGCCATCTTGAATATATTTCACAAAATCATGCATCTTTATCTATATTGCAAAAAGCTCAGGCTTTTCCATATGGAAGGTGACATGCACACACCATTCTGGCTGACTGAAAAAAAGTACAGCTAATTCTGCATCTCTTTTCCTTCACAAACTAGAGATCAAGGACACTTTGTGAAACCAGTTTCCAAGCTCTCCAGTGATTATTATTAGCAAATGTTTGTTGCTGCAAGCTGAGAATGTAGTTAGTCCAAGGCCAGAAAAGAACTTTGACTCGAGAAAAAAAAAAACATTAGATATTATACGATGAAAGGAACAAAGCTTTCATTATTTTTGACAAATTGTGTTCTTGGCAGAGCCTGGTATTTTCAAAACACTGGTGAGGGTTTGGAAGGCACTATCAAACAATAAATCATATCTTGTTGGACTCTGATTCTGTGCTGTGCTGCTATTAGCAACAGGGGTTTGTAGCTGCAGCATGGCATCCTGCAAGTGTGCAGCAGCCTGGCCTCTGGATGCTTGCAGTCAGAGAACGTGATACTGGGGGTTCACGGTGGTGCCTGCTCCAGAAGCTGTGGTCACCAGACTCTACGTGGGGTGATGCTGGGTTGGGGCTAGAGGCAGCAAGGACCCTGGTGTTTGTGCCCTGAGCTGGTGGCCTGTCCCCAGGAGAAGACTTGGAAGCACTGTGGCTCCTCATATGCTTTGAATAGCATCCTTTGCAGGAAGGTATTGGATGGATGGCAGTGAAATTCAGCATGATGGAGCAAATTTCCACTTATCTAAATCTCCTAGTCCTGGTTGTTTGCATAGTCAAGTGAGAGTTAACTTTTCCTCCCCCAAATGCTTTCGTTAAAATATATTTTCCATGTATGTGAGTTTACATCACATCTAGACTAATCTAACTTGATAGGCAACAATTTCTAATACCCCTAGCATATTAATAATGCTTCCTGGCCCTATCTTTCTGAATTGTTTCTACTTCCCCTGAAGAATTCTTTGAAAAAAAATTAAAGATTTCTCATGTGATATCTGGACAGAAAAGATAAAATATGTTCCCACATTCCCTTATTGGACAGTGTAGAGAGATTTAGCCTGCAGAGATGAGATCAGTGCTGTCCAAGAGAAATAGCCACTGGGACTGAGGCACTCACAGTCAGGACATATCACAAAGTGGCTTGGATTTAAAGAAAGATTTAAAATTACTAAGTATTTTTAAATAAATATTGAGTAGGTTTCTGGCTGAGGACTCTTAGACTGCTGATGAGTTACCAATTAACAGTGAAAGGAATATGTTAGACATCCATCAAGACATGCTGCAGTGTAAAAGAGATAAAAAACATGCATTCAAGGAAAACATTCTCCATACTTTAGTTATGGCTACCAATAATTTTAACATTTAAACACTTAGGTTGTAAAAAAATCAAAGAGGCAAACAAAAATGTGATGGATTCTCTATATGCCTTTAAAAAAGTTTTAACACACTTTTTTTTCCACTCTAAAAAAGAGTTGTTCCAACTGAAGACATTACTTCTACCCACAAACATGCTGTAGTTTTCTGGAGGATATATGTTAGCATCAACACACTTTTCTGGGCTCAGTGCAGGAGTAACTGTGCATGATATCATGGCATATGTTGCTCAGGGGGTCAGACAGGATAATCTAGTGATCCCTCCTGCACTTTGAATTTATGAATAGGGAGGGTTAAGAGAAAGGCTTTCTCTGATTCAAAAGTCTTCAGTTCCCACTGAGGAAACAAATAAACACGGGGGGGGTTGGGGGGAGGAGAAAAAAACCCATCAGGCATCACCAAACTGATTTATTTTGACAAATAAATTTCAGTGCTAATTATGGATCCATCAAGCAGTACTGACAAATGTTCTTGGGGATAATTTGTAAAAATTAGGGTACCTTATCATTGCAGGAGTTTACTTTGTTTCCTACTGTTGTTAAATTTTGGCTTAGTAGTAAGGATAAGAAAGCCAATTTCTGTGTGGGCCAAAGTGAAATTGTATTTCTTGGTTTTATGGTCTGAGGTCTACTGCAAAGATCATTAAATTGAGTAATGGCAACTGGAGTGACTGCAAAGGGCTGTCGCAGTTTGGGGCTCAGTGCCTTCCTCACCCAG